ATAGAATATCTAATGCAACCTTAGCTCTTTGTGTAACATGACAAATTTAATAAAAGCACTTTTCTGAATTTTCCGACCATGTGCTCTAAGCAGACCAAGTGAAACATGATATTTTCAGACCAACTATGACATGATTTCTGAATGGTAAAAATGACTTGTACATGTGGAAAAATGGCAGATTGGCAAGACTATTTTAATACTAAAACACAAATAACACAAAACATTTACTTACGTACACTTGTCGACACATACACATACACTCTCACACGGACGGAACATTTAAAAACTGACTCGTGGTGATTTGTGACTTTGTCTGACCGAGCGAAATTTCACGACACGGTTTTTTCTGGTGTAGGACTTATTAATTCTTGTTTTTTCGAGCTGGCGTTTAATGATTCAATTGAAAATACCGTCACGACGACCCACGATTCGCTAGAAACTGACATTTGCTATCGATGTGATGCATGTACGAACTTTCATCACGAACGCGAACAATCAATCCGGCATCTCAACTGTCTCGACTTAAAACTAATAAAAACACACCCCCAAATGCAATTCGGCGAAATTTTGACAATTGCGATCATTTGATGCACGTACAATTTTCGCCCGAACGCGAATTTCCGAGCTACGAATGAAGATATTAATAAGTTCGTCCTACACCAGCGACAAAACGCGACTTCACATGTTGACTGCGCGATTACTGAGCCACGAGTGACGACGAGACGTTTGCACACGGCACGGCTCCCAACGGTCTTCCAGTTCGTACCCTTCCGCGTTACGTCATGTTGGACTGACTTGTCCATTGCCTGTCGCGGATTTTAAATCTTTTGATTTCAAAATCGGCACAGAAATCTCCCCTGCCAAAAAAAATTGGCCCGAGCGACCTTCAGGTCCGCACGAAGGCCTTTTCCATACCGGGACAATTTCGACCCGGCGCGACGATGCTTGACGTGGCAACAGACGCTTCATTCACACGACACATTTTTTTTGTTCATTTTTCCATTGATTTACATTTAATACATTTAACACGAAACAATTTTAGACCTAAACATTTGAAATTTGAATAACAAAAATAGAAAATCTGAAACTTTAACAATAATAAACATTTTGCTTTGAGGTCGGTATTTGAGAAATTAAAAATTGTTGTCAACTGACACCTTGTATCATAAACCAGACTGCATCAATCCATCAACAATTTGAATGGTGAAAACGCGCACGTAATTCACACTTTGGGAATCCCAGCATTCAGCGTCGAGTAGATGTCAACAGTCAGTTCATTGACGTGGTGCAGTGGAGTGTCAGCTGTTGCCGATGGAGTGGGCGGGGGCGGGGGACATTGTTGTGGACGGCCCGCTGTCTGCCTGTCTGTACGGGTAGGTTCTACTCTCGCCCCACCACAGCTGGAACGTGAGCTCTGTTCGTCATCCTTCATGTCGCTCACAGTGGTTACATAATATGACTCAGATGATTCATTGTTTCTCAAAATATGTAATTATGAAAATGTGTAAAACAATTGACCTCATTTTGACTCTATTTGCTCAAAATTGGAAACTATTGCCCATGTAAATATAAATATAAATAATCTCTGTACGAATATGACACAAATAAATAAACAAGTAAACAAACACAGAAATATCAATGTGGATCAATGTGGATAATTGCCTTAGAGATAATAACTGATACCCTTATCAATGCCAACCTGCCATGGTAGTAATGCCAATCTGCTTCCTTGTTACCAGACCTCTCAAATTAGTGCTATCACTTTTTGTAAAGAAAAAAAAAAATAAAAACGTTCTTTACTTAATTACTTGATTTCATCTCTTCAAATAAAAATTAATTCACACCTCTATGTAATACAATTTAGGTATTCCATACAGGTGTGAATGTAACAAAAAGTTGCCCCCCTGGTGGGGTTTTTTATGAATTTAATTTGAATTTAATTGAACTACTGAGGACATACAATCACAGAGCTGCGCAGTGGAATTAAAGATGTTAAGTGGGCCCTGTAATTAAATATCCCAGAAGTCCGATTTATGGACCGTGAGAGGTCTGATATATTGTCCTCCTTCACACCTTCTTCAGCTTAATTCTAACACTTCTTAAAACTAATAGATGTGTTTATTTGAACACTCCATGAATTGAAATGTGCTACTCTGATGAAAGATTGTGACGTGAATTGACACTCTGTAAAACTGTAAAATTGCAAATAATAATATTGAAATATTGATTGAAAATATCTATGAAACTGTTTGTTCAGGAAATATTTACCAAAGGTATGACTTCAAGATGTTTATATATATGGATTCGGTTAAGCCGATTACTCATGAATTCACCAACTTGATATTAAATATTATGAACTGAACTTATACAAATTACACTGTCAAAATATATTTACAAAATGTGATCATCAACACTCATTGCGTATACTTTGTATACTTCTTTCAGTTAAGCCATTTACCTCTTAAATTTATACCAGATTGATACTTATAATACTAGCTGAAACACAGGTGAATAAAAAGATGAGTTTTTGTAAAAATGCTGTATAATGAGTTGAAAATATGAACTGTGATACAAATAAAGTTATAAACAATGTAATAACCTTTTGTGCACAATTTGTGTTTTGAAAGAGAGAGTGAGAGAGTTGATTGTAAGTTATGTTTGGTGGTTTGCCACATTTTAAAACTACAAAGTCTCGGGATGACCTAGCCTTGACAACTTTATTTATTTATTTTAGACCACCAGACTCTCCAAAGATGTTCATATGTATATCAACTGGCCAGTTTACAATTCAATGCAACAGGGAACATTACGTAGTCTTGTGATCTACATCACTCCATTGTTGATTAATGCAACGGGGCCAATCGACTACTGAGTCGATTAATTGACGACTTTTATTTAATATTTACACTTTATGAATTTAATGGGAGTCTATCCTCATGACCCTTTATCAACCCTAGCCTTCGACCGAGCACTTTGTCTCCCCCATTTACGTTACACAATCAAACTCTCACTAATAAAAATGCGATACTCTGATCAAAAATATTACAATACAAGAAAATACAAAATGTTAAGAATAGTAATACTGACGATAGAATTTGACCCTTTACATAAAAACACCAAAATAATAATATATCACAGATAATCATTGCTCTTAAAATTAATAGGCTATTTCAATTCGATTTGATTTAATAAATAATTTTCATTGAATAGAATATGTAATGCAACCTTAGCTCTTTGTGTAACATGACAAATTTAATAAAAACACTTTTCTGAATTTTCCGACCATGTGCTCTAAGCAGACCAAGTGAAACATGATATTTTCAGACCAACTATGACATGATTTCATGAAAAGTTTGCTGGAGTCATCCCCATCAAACTTTTGGCGGTGGAGAGAAAGGCAATTTACCGGCGCCGTGGGGAGGACGAGGCATGAACAGAGGAACGCACCCGCACCTACCAGCTGTGGCAGGAGGGCTGGGAACAGGAGACGCGGGGACTCTGGACCAGGCGACTGATACAGCAAGTCCAACCTTGGGTTGATCGGCGGTAGGGAGAGGTGGACTTCTACCTCACCCAATTTCTGACGGGACACAGCTTTTTCCGGTCGTACCTGTTCAGGATGGGCAAAGCCGTGTCACCCGACTGCATATACTGCCCAGGCATTCTCGATGACGTGGAACATACATTTTTCCACTGCCAGCGCTGGGAAAGGCCCCGCCTGGAGGCTCAACAATTAATAGGACTGCTGTCGGTGGACACGGTCATACCGATTATGACGGAGGGTGAGGACAATTGGACCTGTGTGTCACATTATATCCAGGGTATTCTCCGCGCCAAGAAGATCGACCTTGACCGGGATGCGGTTGTAGGTCATTAAGAATCGAAATGCCAGAAACGGTGCGAGCCCTGAGGGCTTAGGTCACATGTTGGCCTGACTTGAAGTAATGTGACAAACAATTCCAGGTCTGTGTCCAACAGAGTAGAGGGGGTTTTTTAGTGAGTAGTCTGACAATTTTCAGGAGTCTCACACTACAGGCTGGCTACCTGTGTGCGTAAAAGCATTTTCCCTCCTCTCCCTAAAAAAAAAAAAAAAAAAAGACATGATTTCTGGATGGTAAAAATGACTTGTACATGTGAAAAAATGGCAGATTGGCAAGACTATTTTAATACTAAAACACAATAACACAAAACATTTACTTACGTACACATGTCGACACATACACTACGTACTCGTTAAACTGATGCTATTTAAATAGGGAATAAATGTGATATTTTTAAGGAGATATTTAGTGTAAATCCAATCAGGCAAATGGAAATTCGCTTAGTCTGCAGGTTTGCTGCGGCGGGGGTATTTATATATATTTATGTAAGTGTCCGTTAGCGCGATAACTCAAGCAAAAATGATCCGATTTTGATGATATTTGGTACACGTTACAAACGTTACGAGTTCGCAAACCAGCATGATCCAAACATGGGAACATGATTGTTTATGGGGGATTTTATGGGGTTAACATAGGTTTTTCCCATTTTGACCCTAAAAACATAAAATGTCACAATTAATTTCTTTCCAAACTATTTTGTAGAGCTTAGTAAAAGAAATAATTTTGTATATTCCCATGTTATTCTTATGGAGAATAAGTAAACTTTTGTAGTTTGCTTGTTTATGGGTATACTTTAATCAAATTTGTCAATTTTGTTTATTTCATACTAGCAATCAACGTTTCAATTAAAAAACACAACTCAATACCTTGCCTGTAGCAGCAAACCTAAGTACTCATTAAAATTAACTTAACGTTATTTAAATAGAAAATAAATCTGACAATTTTAAGGGAATATTTTAGTAAAAATCCAGTCAGGAAAATGGAAATTTGCTTAGTCTGCACGTTTGTTGCGGCAGGGGTATTTATAATGTCAATGTTTTTAGGTTTTGTGCTCTAAAGACATGTCAACTGTATTTTTTTGTGTAACAAGTAGGATAATGTAAGTTGTTGGTTTTACAGGTTACGGAAGCTTTTCTACTCTACTATAGGATTAACCCTCATTGGTGTTGGAGGAGCTGTGGTTTATGCTAAAAATGATCCTAAATTTAGGAAAGTTCTAGATTCATATGTTCCTGGATCAGATAAGGTAATTCGCATTTTATATCAGGAAGAAGGAAGTCTTAACCTTGGAGGTTTATCCGACCAACTCAGTACAATCCAAGATAAGTAAGTAAATTAATTATATTGAATTTTAGTCTCCTGAACTCATTTAAATACTAAGATATGGTGTAAATACCTGCATTAATGTGATCAAATGTGTTGCTAAATTGTAACTGGTTTTTTTTTTACTCACATCGGGCCAGTACAGATGTCTTCTTGCTTTATTCTAAGGTCGTCAATTCATATGTAAATAAATAAATAGAACCAGTACTCGAACATAACAATGAACATTTAGGTTTAAAAACGAAGGGTAATACTGCAACGGCACAGGACACAACGTGATCGGGTGGAAGTTATATCTAGACTGCCGGTTAGGATCAGCGTGGCCAGCGATGACGTCGTGCCTGGATTTCCCGATCAGCTGATAGCATCATTCACAACTGTCCAACTGTCCCTCGCTCTAGTATCTTGATTGCAGTGTCGTAAATGTTATTTGATTGGAACGCGAGGGACAGTTGTGAATGAAGCTGCGACCCATCTTTTCCGCACTGGATTTTTTTTTAAATATGTGCTCGGTCGCAAATGTTTGACTTAGGATAGCCTACAATGGCTGGGTAAATTTCCAGGGTATGTGATAAGGGAACCACGAGGCCAAAAGCCGGGTCTAACCGGTATAGGGCTGGCTCATACACGGGCATTGTGAACCAGTCAAAGAAGTCACCAAGCAATATTCACCACCAGGCCTATTCCGCCGATCCTCCACTCTCCTAGGGGGTCGTTGTTGACTACTCAAGTCAGGCTTAGTCCTAACTATCCAATAGTTAGGCCCAGAGTGCCTAAAACAATGTGAGTGCCACAACCACTTGCTGATAAAAACCACAACGCCTGTTATCACCAAGAGGGGTCTATTCAGCCACTAAAATAAAATCAATACACAACTCTAATGCCCAAGCTAACCATCAAACAGTTCACTCCATATACAACAACTAGCTGGCCCGACAGACGTCGTCATGTCCTAATGTGGTTTTATGACAAATGCCCGTTCATTTTCAAGATGAGCACGTTCACATTGCTCAATCACGTCCTGGTTGAAGTTTGTTTGCTACGCTTACTCACCTGTAGGTTGGAGCTCGTTCGCTGCGCTCATTGCCTTCAGTTTAGCTCGTTTGCTACGCTAACTTGCCTCCAGGTTGAAGTTCGTTCGCTACGCTCACTCACCTTTTGGTTGCAAGTTAGCTGTTGTCATAAATTAAAAATATATAATAGTGCTGCACCCTGTTGGTAAACCTTGTAACTTTAATGCTATTGAACATCATAGAACAGAACCAACTTGTTTAATTGAAACAGCTGTTAAGATTCATTAATTCCATTTCTCATAAGGTTAACATGGGAAACTCCAGAGCCACTGGGGCGGAGCCCTTTTAAGAATTTCGAAACGGGAAATAGTTTACGTCCGATTTGCATACCTACAGAATTTACACACCAAATTTCATAACGATCGGTGAAGTCGTTCCGGAGGAGTTTGCAGACAAACACTGTGACACGAGAATTTTATATATTAGATATATACAAACTTCCTCTTTTATAAATATAGATACCAAATAATAATCAACGTATACTATTATAGTCAGAGTGACCAAACACCTAGTAGCTGGTCTCATAAATACCAAGTCAAAAGGCAAAACTAAATGCTAATGCTAGTTACACTATTATTAAATTAATGAGCTACTTAGTAGCAGTGAAATAAATGTAATATCTTCCAAACACGAACTAAATTTATCCGATAGCTGGTACTACAATATCCAAGCTACCAAGATAACACGTTGGATCAACAAACAAGCTGTTTGGGTTAAATTAAAATCATAAAATATAGTTAACCCATGAAACACTACTACTATCAAGGTGATATTAATTAGCTGGGCTTCTTATCAGTAGGCTAACAAATTGTGGCATACTTTGATGCACACTTTGGTGATCTGATCATGTGATTTATGTTCCTGATCAAATCGTTCATGTTGGAAACGATAACTGGACACATTATTTAAAACAGAGGAGACAGTTTACCGCAATTCACAGGCCCTTGTTTGATTAATTAAACCATCTATAACACAGAAATATCTTAATCGTTCAACATATGGAATATTAATATATAAGTCAACTGGACACAATATGAATTAACATTTTGAATGAATGATGAATAATAAATGACGGTATAAATGAGTTAGGGAATTTGACTACAGTTGAGTTTCTATAAGACGAATTTCAAGGGATACGGGAAAAATTCGTACTATAGAGGTATTCTTAATAAAGACGGTCGTTTTATCAAAGTTTAATGCTGCTGTTATTCTTCTTATAGAGGTTTCTCCAAACAATGACTGAGGAAGGAGGAGGGATGGGTGAGGGTTTCATGTTGAGACAAGCTTCTGTTTGTTTTGAAAACTACGTACTATGGAGGTTAAGATTATGATAAATTCGTCTTATAGAGGTCACGTTCGTCTTGTAGAGGTTTTGTCCTAAGAATATTCGTTGTATAGAGGTTAATCAGTCCTAGCCCATGTCACAAACAAATTTGTCTTATGGAGGTTTTTAACTTAATTACTACGTTGTATAGAGGTGTTTTTAGCATTGACCTATATGAAAGTGTCAAGGGGATAAAAAAATAACTCGTCTTATCGAGGAATTTGTTTTATCGAGGTTCGTACAAACGAGGTTCATCTGTACATGATCTGAAATTACATATTAATTAATTATTACTATCCTACGACACAATACCTCAAGGGAGGTCGCCTCCCCCATTTCCCACCAATTTAGAGACCCATGTTGTCCGTTGGAAGCCAGGCACAAGACAGGGACTTCCTTTGGTCACTTCACTCACCTGCTCCTGCGCATGCGCGAGCAGTCCTGGACTTGAGATAGCTAACTAGGCGGGACATTTGAGTGGTTGTGGAGACTAAGCTCCACATAAATAAATATAACATATAACATCGTACAATAAATAGTAAGAAATAAATATATATATCACAAATATCTGGAAACATGAAATAGTACACAGAAATTTAATGGTAATTGTATGTGTTATGTGAGTGTATGTGTGAAGGTGTAAGCGCGACTTTGCCTCCCTCCAATCACAAATCACAGTTTGCAGGTTCGAGCTGTTGAAATTAAAAAAGTTATGGCTCGACCGCAAATTCCAAAATATATAAAAAATTAGCTAACCTGTGACTAGTGATGTGCGTATCGATACGTATCGATACAAGGACCGCAAAATATCAATGTATCGATATGCCCGTATCGATACACCTATAGCCAATATCGTATCGAATATCGTATTGTTTATTTATTAATATAAATCTTATTTTTATGGTAAGAAATTTGTCTTCCCATCTTCCTCCCCTCAAAATTAGTAGTGGAAATTTGATATTTTACCATAGCATCTTTAAAAACACTGATAAAACATGTAATTTCAGCTATGTTTTGCAAATAACCTCAAAACTAGGGCCACCATTAATGGAAGTGGGGACCCTCATTATCCATATTACGGTATACTACTTAATGAGTAAGTGGCATACCCACCATCATTATTAGTACTTTTTGGTTCAATTAATTATCCCTGTGTAAAAACTAGGAAAACAATGACAAAATGTTTTCCAATTTTGAGGGTTTACCGGAATTTGGAGGTATGTTTGATACAAATAAAAAGACACAGGAAGGAAACGGCTTTTCTGAGGTAAGATACAAGCACTAACCCTCTTTACAAGCTTGCAAGTAACATAGTATTTGTCTATGCAGCTTGTATATTTGAGATCTTTATTTTTTTTTTTATTATAAATAAACAATACGATACGATATTTTATCCGATACAGATAAAAATCGATACATGAGGATACGATACGATACACGTATCGATACACCACGTCCTGATACGTATCGATACGCAGTATCGATCACTACCTGTGACTGCGTTTGGAGGTTGGCGTGTATATGTAATTGTGTGAGGCTGTCGGGGCGAGCGACACACTGGCAACCGCCACTGTAGGTGGCACCTCAGAGAAATGATACCTTAGACTCAGTGCGCTTCGCCAGTGTGGAGGCCGGCGACAGGTGTTGAGTGTGAAGTGAGGGTGTGGTACTACATTTAACTAATCCTATATCACTTGGCCTGTGTGCTGTTTTCTTGGTGTGTATAGCTGGGTGTTTTTGGTCTTGTCCTAACTTTTGGGGTGAAAAAAGGCTTTTAATTGTGAGACGTGAGCTCTCCTAACTGTTTTCCCTGACTTGGGGTCAACTAAAACTATGGTGACTGGTGAAGTGAATGCTTGAATTATTAGGGGTTCGGACCAAACTGGCAAAAGTTTGGCATTTATTTTGTTCACTTTGTTGCTTTGATGATTTAATCGAAACATTACCCAATCACCTACTTTGTAATCAACTAGTTGACGTCCCTTATTGTATTGATTTCTTCGGGTTTCCCTGGCTTTTTCGAGATTGTTGTATGCCTCTGTCCATGTGTGTTTAATGTCTATCGGTTGATCTGGAATGAGACGGTCTAGGTTCCAATTTAGTTCTAGGGGGTGGTTGATTTGATAGCCCAGGAATAATTCTGCTGGCACTAAATCAATGTTCTTGTCCACAAATAAACAACACTTGCTTACACCTAAAACTAAGACCAGAGATATCGATAGATCGGAAACTTCAAATATTGGTAACACAATAAATATTAAATACTAGCTGTTGTACCCGTGCTTTGCAACGGGAAGAGGACACAAAATAGAAACATTTTAATCTTTACATCTGTTGCATATAATAGTTACACATCCGCCTACGCTTTTAGAAACAAAATTCAACTTTTAGGCCTTAATAGAAACGTTTAAGTTCCCGGTATGACTTTTAAATCTGGTAAGTAGTGGATACCACCATTTTGGTTTTGATTAATTTTAAATCTTGTGTAGGCTGATATGAGAAAACTGACCAAATCTTTAAATAAAACTTTCACATACGATTTACCTTCATCTCCCTTGATTACATAGGTATCTTTTTATTTATAATTGACATTTTCAATTTCAATT